CATTGATGGGGTCTTGGCCATTGGGGTCCCCATTGATGGGGTCTTGTTCATTGAGGTCCCCATTGACGGGGTCCTGGTCACTGGGGTCTCCATTGACAGGGTCCTGGCCATTGGGGTCCCCATTGGTGTTGTCTTGGCCTTTGGGGTCTCCATTGATGGGGCCTTGGCCATTGGGGTCCCCATTGATGGGGTCTTGGCCATTGGGGTCTCCATGGCCCTGGTTGCCTCCCTTGGCTCCTGGTGGGGTCCCCATGGCCATGGTCTTGGCTGTCGGTCTCTGATGGGTCTGTGGCTGTTGTTTGTCCCCATGGGGGTTGTAGGCCATGGCCATGGGTCCATTCGAGGTCTGTGATGGATCCTGTGGGGCTGGGGGCTTTGGGGCCTTGGCAATGGTGGGTCTATGGGGGCTCCATGGAGGGGGGCGTGGATGGATCCATTGATGGATCCAAGGCAATGGTAGGTCCATGGTGAGTCCATGGATAGGTCCAAGCCAACAAGAGATCTGTGCTGTCCCCATGGTATCCCATAGGGAAACGTGCCTGAGGCGCGGGGGGAGCTGTTCCATGGTGTCCCCTTGGTATCCCTATGGGATCCTTGTGGTATCCCCTTGGTGTCCTTGTGGTATCCCCATGGTATCCCCGTGGTACCTCCATGGTATCCCCATGGTATCTCTATTGTGTCCCCAGGTATCCCCACGGTATCCCTCTGGTATCCCCATGGTAGCCCTATGGTACCTCTATGGTGTCTCTATGGTACCTCTATGGTGTCTCTATGGTACCTCTATGGTACCTCCATGATGTCTCTATGGTGTCTCTATGGTGTCTCTATGGTGTCTCTATGGTGTCTCTATGATGTCTCTATGGTGTTTCTGTGATGTCTCTATGGTGTCTCCATGGTGTCTCTATGGTGTCTCTATGGTGTCTCCGTGGTGTCTCCATGGTGTCTCTATGGTGTCTCCATGGTGTCTCCATGGTGTCTCTATGGTGTCTCTGTGGTCTCTCCATGGTGTCTCTATGGTGTTTCCATGGTGTCTCTATGGTATCTCTATGGTGTCTCCATGGTGTCTCTATGGTGCCTCTATGGTGTCTCTATGGTGTCTCTATGGTGTTTCTGTGATGTCTCTGTGGTCTCTCTATGGTGTCTCTATGGTGTCTCTATGGTGTCTCCATGGTATCTCTATGGTGTCTCCATGGTGTCTCTATGGTGTCTCTGTGGTCTCTCCATGGTGTCTCTATGGTGTTTCCATGGTGTCTCTATGGTGTCTCCATGATGTCTCTATGATGTCTCTATGGTGTCTCTATGGTACCTGTATGATGTCTCTATGGTGTCTCCATGGTGTCTCTATGGTGTCTCCATGGTGTCTCTATGGTGTCTCTATGATGTCTCCATGGTGTCTCCATGGTGTCTCTATGGTATCTCTATGGTGTCTCCATGGTGTCTCTATGGTGCCTCTATGGTGTCTCTATGGTGTTTCTGTGATGTCTCTGTGGTCTCTCTATGATGTCTCTATGGTGTCTCCATGGTGTCTCTATGGTGTCTCTATGATGTCTCCATGGTGTCTCCATGGTGTCTCCATGGTGTCTCTATGGTATCTCTATGGTGTCTCCATGGTGTCTCTATGGTGCCTCTATGGTGTCTCTATGGTGTTTCTGTGATGTCTCTGTGGTCTCTCTATGATGTCTCTATGGTGTTTCCATGATGTCTCTATGGTGTCTCTATGGTGTCTCTATGGTGTCTCTATGATGTCTCCATGATGTCTCTATGGTGTCTCCATGATGTCTCTATGATGTCTCTATGATGTCTCTATGGTGTCTCCATGGTGTCTCTATGGTGTCTCTATGATGTCTCCATGGTGTCTCCATGATGTCTCCATGGTGTCTCCATGGTGTCTCTATGGTATCTCTATGGTGTCTCCATGGTGTCTCTATGGTGCCTCTATGGTGTCTCTATGGTGTTTCTGTGATGTCTCTGTGGTCTCTCTATGGTGTCTCTATGGTGTCTCCATGGTGTCTCTATGGTGTCTCTGTGGTCTCTCCATGTTGTCTCTATGGTGTTTCCATGATGTCTCTATGGTGTCTCCATGATGTCTCTATGGTGTCTCCATGATGTCTCTATGATGTCTCTATGGTGTCTCTATGGTATCTCTATGGTGTCTCCATGATGTCTCTATGGTGTCTCTATGATGTCTCTATGGTGTCTCCATGATGTCTCTATGGTGTCTCTATGATGTCTCTATGGTGTCTCCATGATGTCTCTATGGTGTCTCTATGGTGTTTCTATGGTGTCTCTATGGCGTCTCTATGATATCTCTATGATGTCTCTATGGTGTCTCTATGGCGTCTCTATGATGTCTCTATGGTGTCTCCATGATGTCTCTATGATGTCTCTATGGTGTCTCTATGGTATCTCTATGGTGTCTCCATGATGTCTCTATGATGTCTCTATGATGTCTCTATGGTGTCTCTATGATGTCTCTATGGTGTCTCTATGGTGCCTCTATGGTGTCTCCATGATGTCTCTATGATGTCTCTATGGTGTCTCTATGGTATCTCTATGGTGTCTCCATGATGTCTCTATGATGTCTCTATGATGTCTCTATGGTGTCTCTATGATGTCTCTATGGTGTCTCCATGATGTCTCTATGGTGTCTCCATGATGTCTCTATGGTGTCTCCATGATGTCTCTATGGTGTCTCTATGGTGTTTCTATGGTGTCTCTATGGCGTCTCTATGGCGTCTCTATGGCGTCTCTATGATATCTCTATGATGTCTCTATGGTGTCTCTATGGCGTCTCTATGGTATCTCTATGGCGTCTCTATGGTATCTCTATGGTCTCTCTATGGTGTTTCTGTGATGTCTCTGTGGTCTCTCTATGGTGTCTCTATGGTGTCTCTATGGTGTTTCTATGGTGTTTCTGTGGTGTCTCTATGGCACCCCAATGATGTCTCTATGGTACCTTTATGGTCTCTCTATGGCACCCCAATGGCCCCCCAATGGTCCCTCTATGGTACCCCCAATGGTCTCTCTATGGCACCCCAATGATGTGTCTATGGCACCCCAATGATTTCTCTATGGCCCCCCAATGGTCCCTCTATGGTCTCTCTATGGTCCCCCCATGATATCTCTATAGCACCCCAATGATATCTCTATGGTACCCCCACGGTCTCTCTATGGTCCCCCCAATGATATCTCTATGGTCCCCCCATGATATCTCTATGGCACCCCCATGATGTCTCTATGGTACCCCAATGATGTCTCTATGTTCTCTCTATGGTACCCCCATGGTCTCTCTATGGCACCCCAATGGTCCCTCTATGTTCTCTCTATGGCACCCCAATGATGTCTCTATGGTCTCTCTATGGCACCCCAATGATGTCTCTATGGTACCCCCATGATGTCTCTATGGCACCCCAATGATGTCTCTATGGTACCTCTATGGTGTCTCTATGGCACCCCAATGATGTCTCTATGGTACCCCAATGATGTCTCTATGGTCCCTCTATGGTGTCTCTATGGCACCCCAATGATGTCTTTATGGTACCCCAATGATGTCTCTATGGTACCCCAATGATGTCTCTATGGTCCCTTTATGGTGTCTCTATGGTACCCCAATGATGTCTCTATGGTCCCTCTATGGTGTCTCTATGGCACCCCAATGATGTCTCTATGGTACCCCAATGATGTCTCTATGGTCCCTCTATGGTGTCTCTATGGCACCCCAATGATGTCTTTATGGTACCCCAATGATGTCTCTATGGTACCCCAATGATGTCTCTATGGTCCCTTTATGGTGTCTCTATGGTACCCCAATGATGTCTCTATGGTCCCTCTATGGTGTCTCTATGGCACCCCAATGATGTCTTTATGGTACCCCAATGATGTCTCTATGGCACCCCAATGATGTCTCTATGGTACCTCTATGGTGTCTCTATGGCACCCCAATGATGTCTCTATGGTACCTCTATGGTGTCTCTATGGCACCCCAATGATGTCTCTATGGAACCCCAATGATGTCTCTATGGTACCCCAATGATGTCTCTATGTCCCCCCAATGATGTCTCTATGGCACCCCAATGATGTCTCTATGGTACCCCAATGATGTCTCTATGGCACCCCAATGATGTCTCTATGGTACCCCAATGATGTCTCTATGGTACCCCCACGGCCTCTCCATGTCCCCCCAATGGTGTCTCTATGGTACCCCAATGGTGTCTCTATGGTACCCCAATGATGTCTCTATGGTACCCCCACGGCCTCTCCATGTCCCCCCAATGGTGTCTCTATGGTACCCCAATGGTGTCTCTATGGTACCCCAATGATGTCTCTATGGTACCCCCACGGCCTCTCCATGTCCCCCCAATGATGTCTCTATGGTACCCCAATGATGTCTCTATGGTACCCCCACGGCCTCTCCATGTCCCCCCAATGATGTCTCTATGGTACCCCAATGATGTCTCTATGGTACCCCCACGGCCTCTCTATGTCCCCCCAATGATGTCTCTATGGTACCCCAATGGTGTCTCTATGGCACCCCAATGATGTCTCTATGGTACCCCAATGGTGTCTCTATGGTACCCCCACGGCCTCTCCATGTCCCCCCAATGATGTCTCTATGGTACCCCCACGGCCTCTCCATGTCCCCCCAATGGTGTCTCTATGGCACCCCAATGGTGTCTCTATGGTACCCCAATGATGTCTCTATGGTACCCCCACGGCCTCTCCATGTCCCCCCAATGATGTCTCTATGGTACCCCCACGGCCTCTCTATGTCCCCCCAATGATGTCTCTATGGTACCCCAATGATGTCTCTATGGTACCCCAATGGTGTCTCTATGGTACCCCAATGATGTCTCTATGGTACCCCAATGATGTCTCTATGGTACCCCCACGGCCTCTCCATGTCCCCCCAATGGTCTCTCTATGCTCTCTCTCTGCCCCCCCGTTCCCTCCATGCCCCCCAACTCCCCGCCCCGTTTCCCCGTTGCTCCCCCCCCCTCCAGGGAACGTCCCCGAGGCCCTTCGGGAGCCGCTGCAGCGGGGCCGCCTGGTGCCGGCCGTGGCTCGGGCGCTGTCGGCCCCGGGGCTCTACTGCAGGGCCTGGGCCTGGGCCCTGCGGGCGCCGCCGCCCCCGGACACGGCCGCGCTGCTGGAGCTGCTGCGGAGCAGAGGGGAGGGGCCCACGCTGAGAGAGCGCCCCCTGCAGGCGGCGGACCTCAGGCCGCCACTCGATATCGTGAGTTGGGGGGGGGATGGGGGATGGGGGAAATGGGGGGAATGGGGGGGATGGGAATGGGGGGAATGGGGGGGTGGGGGAATGGGGGGATGGGGGGGTGGGGGAATGGGGGGATGGGGAATGGGGTGGATGGGGGGTAACAGGGGGATGGGGGGAATGGGGGGGATGGGGGGATGATGGGGGGATGGGGGGGTCGGGGAATGGGGGGATGGGGAATGGGGGGGATGGGGGGGATGGGGGGGGATGGGAGATGGAGGGATGGGGGGGAATGGGGGGGAATGGGGGGGATGGGGGGGTGGGGGGGTGGGGAATGGGGGGGATGGAGGGATGGGGGAAGGGGGAATGGGGGGATTGGAGGGAATGGGGAAATGGGGGGAATGGGGGAATGGGGGGATGGGGAGATGGAGGGATGGGGGGGAATGGGGGGGATGGGGGGATGGGGGGATGGGGAATGGGGGGGATGGAGGGATGGGGGGATGGGGAATGGGGGGGATGGAGGGATGGGGGAAGGGGGAATGGGGGGATTGGAGGGAATGGGGAAATGGGGGGAATGGGGGGATGGGGGGGATGGGGGAATGGGGGGATGGGGAGATGATGGGGGAATGGGGGGATGGGGGAAGGGGGATTGGGGGGAATGGGGGAAGGGGGAATGGGGGAGTTGGGGGAATGGGGAAATGGGGGATGGGGGGAATGGGGAGATGATGGGGGGATGGGGGGATTGGGGGGAATGGGGGGATGATGGGGGAATGGGGGAATGGAAGATGGGGGGGAATGCGGGGGATGGGGGAATGGGGGGGATGGGTTAATGGGGGGGATGGGGGGAATGGGTTAAAGGGGGGGAATGGGGGGGATGGGGGAATGGGGGGATTGGGGGATGGGGGCAATGGGAGGGGATGGGGGGGAATGGGGGAGATGGGGGGGTGGGGGGAATGGGGGGGATTGGGGGGAATGGGGGATGGGGGGAATGGGGGTAATGGGGGAAGGGGGGGATGGGGGAATGGGGGGAATAGGGGTAATGGGGGAATGGGGGTAATGGGGTAAAGGGGGAATGGGAATGGGGTAATGGGGGGAATGGGAGTAATAGGGGTAATGAGGTAATGGGGGTAATGGGGTTATGGGGGTAATGTGGTAATAGGGTAATGGGGGTAATGGGGTACTGAGGGTAATGGGGGTTAATGGTGGAAATGGGGGGCAATGGGGGCAATGGGGGTAATGAGGGGTAATGAGGGGCAATGGGGGGTAAATGGGGGCAATGGGTGTGTCCCCACCCCCCCACCCCCCCTTTGGGTGCCCCCCAGGACGCCCACCTCACCCTCATCGACTCCCTCATGGGCGCCTTCGTGGCCGAGGCCACGCGGGGCTTGGGGTGCCCCCCGGGAGCCCCCCCCGGGCCCGAGGGCTGGGAGCAGAAGATCCTGTGCTGGTTGGACACGGTATGGGGGGGGGCTATGGGGGGGTATAGGGGGTCTATGGGGAGTTACGGAGGGTCTATGGGGGGTATAGGGGGTCTATGGGGGTATGGAGGGTCTATGGGGGGTATGGAGGGTCTATGGGGGGTATGGGGGGGGCTATGGGGGGTATAGGGGGTCTATGGGGGGGTATGGAGGGTCTATGGGGGGGTATGGGGGGGGGCTATGGGGGGGTATAGGGGGTCTATGGGGGGGTATGGAGGGTCTATGGGGGGTATGGGGGGGGGCTATGGGGGGGTATAGGGGGTCTATGGGGGGGTATGGAGGGTCTATGGGGGGTATGGGGGTATAGGGGGTCTATGGGGGGGTATGGAGGGTCTATGGGGGGGGTATGGGGGTTATAGGGGGTCTATGGAGGGGTATGGAGGGTCTATGGGGGGTATGGGGGGGGCTATGGGGGGTATAGGGGGTCTATGGGGGGGTATGGAGGGTCTATGGGGGGTATGGAGGGTCTATGGGGGGTATGGGGGGGGCTATGGGGGGTATAGGGGGTCTATGGGGGGGTATGGAGGGTCTATGGGGGGTATGGTGGGGGCTATGGGGGGTATAGGGGGTCTATGGGGGGGGTATGGAGGTTCTTTGGGGGGGATATGGGGGGTATAGGGGGTCTATGCGGGGGTATGGAGGGTCTATGGGGGGTATGGGGGGGGCTATGGGGGGTATAGGGGGTCTATGGGGGGGTATGGAGGGTCTATGGGGGGGGTATGGGGGGTATAGGGGGTCTATGGGGGGGTATGGAGGGTCTATGGGGGGTATGGGGGGGCTATGGGGGGTATAGGGGGTCTATGGGGGGGTATGGAGGGTCTATGGGGGGTATGGGGGGGGTTTGGGGGGTATAGGGGGGCTATGGGGGGGCTATGGGGGGGTATAGGGGGTCTATGGGAGGGGTATGGAGGGTCTATGGGGGGTATGGGGGAGTCTATGGGGGGTATAGGGGGGCTATGGAGGGTATGGGGGGGGTTTGGGGGGGTATAGGGAGGCTATGGGGTGGCTATGGGGGGGTATAGGGGGTCTATGGGGGGGTATGGAGGGTCTATGGGGGGTATGGGGGGGGTTTGGGGGGGTATAGGGGGGCTATGGGGGGGTATGGGGA